CGACCTGATGGAGGGCCTACAACTAACACAGCAACATTTGTCCCTCGTTGGTAACAACTAGCTGCGGCACAGGTCGCCTGTTACCTGTACTAAACCGAGTGGGCAAAATGACGTGCTTGTGAAGCGGAATATCGGTATCGAGGTCCTAGTAATCGGCTTTAAGTTGCTCTTCGATCCTGACAGTGGCTTCTGCATAATGTACATTGAAATCACCCATGATAAGTATGTAGGACTATCTTTCCTTTAGAGTACATCTCAGAGCTGTCACTAGGTGACAGTCCATTTCAGGTTAGTGTTTGGGGGGCTGTACACTAAAGTTCTAAAGTAGGTCTCTCTGTCCCTTACCTGCATACCGTACCGAAGATAATAAGGGAACTGCGAGTCTGCATCTCCCGTGGTCTCGCTTTGGTAATACAGAATTACCTCTATCTTTCTGTGAGTCTGTCATTTCGGATGAGCGACATGACCAGCAGCAAACCTTTGGCTTTCGTCACTCCAGTGTGTAATCAGTTCTCGGTGGTGTTTATGAAATCGTATGACTGGAAAACGTACCACTTTTTCTGTTCGGAGTGAATCTTTACAAGACTTTGCTTAGAAGTCACTTTGCTTTCCTGCCACGTACTCACTTCCAGTGAAGGGATCTTAGCGTTTACTAGATATTCATTGCCTGCTGTTAACCGGTCGCACTTTTACGCTGGGGTAAACGCACATTTGACGAATGGCATGATGACCGGGCAGTGTAAATTCAGAGACGTTTTGCAAGCAGTTTTAAACTCGCATTTCTCATTGGGAAAGGTTTGCACAGCTTGAATGATGCTAGTTGGAACTGTGTGAACAGGCTGATTCTAATTGTAATAACCGATTACATGCTGCTGCCTCGTAGACAGCTTGCGCCTAGTCCTCTTTACTTCTCATATAGTTAGTACTTGCCATTCCACGTGGTGTCGTCACCTGACCTAGTGAGTTCGTTCATGTTGTGTACTTTTCCGACCCATCGGCCATCGGCCACACAAGCCTTGGGGCTACTGATTTCAAGCGAGCGTAGACTAGCGCTCTGTGTGATAGATTGCATAGACTCACGAGCAGACAGGGTTAAAAGGATGACTAGTGTACCCGGGCGATCGATCGACTAAAATTTAATTCTGACTGAGGAGCAACATAAAGCAAAGTGTGAGGGATATGACTGACGAGAGAACTGCCTCTACATCATCTCCTGACTGAGGCGTTCATTTGAGTGACCGCGGTTTACTGTAGTGTGCTAAGTTTGGATGATGGACAAGGCATATCATAATGGCCGGTTTAGTTGACAAAGGGAGTCCCACTGTTTCCGGTCGTCTAGCAGATTTTCTTTGATAGAGTTGACCCCACATTCAGGCACACTGTATCCTACACCATAGAGTACTGACATTGTCTGGCCTTCTGAATTTTAGAAGGTTATGTGGCTGCTTTCTTTCGTGTCACAACCGATAATCTCCTAGGTCCCTGCAGTAGTGGTGGAAGCACTAACTGCAACTGGTTTAGAGGTGGGCGAGAATACGACGGGCGGTGGTACGGTCAAGCGAGCGGAAACAACGGACACATAAGCTTTTGGCCCTTCAGTACGATTTACTGCAGCGAGTGGGTTTAATGAAACACGTGCTTCGAACGCATCCATAAATAACAGCTCGTAGTGTATGGGTGCCTAAATCTTGATCGGTACGCTTACCTTCGGCCTAGTTGCTTTGCTCTGAATTGGAGGTTGCTGTTGACCATGGAGTTCACGGCACTGGTTCGTCTGGTTCCGTTCAGAAAGCTCCCACCGCGGCTGCTTGCACTAGCATCTGTGAAAGTCTATCGCATTTCTGCACAAAAAGCTGTATACCTGACGAGGGGAATAGCAGTACACCCAGTACAGAACCAGGCGCAATCTATCGTCACTTAGTTTAAACAAACGCACCTAGGCTAGAATTTTCTACAACAGTTAGCGCAGTCTTTTCCAATTCCTACACCTTAAAACAATTTGCTGCATAACAGTTAACGTTGAATTGCGATGTTTTGGGCTCTATCTTTTGCAGGCAAGCAGCGCACTACGTGATTTCCAATTCAGTAAGGCTCGCCTGTTTGGACACAATTAGATCACCTGACTATGAGTGTCACATTTACTTTATAGCTTGACTGCATTCACCCTTATTTTGAAATGCCATACAAATGTAGCCTCCATGATACGTTTAGGCAAACTGTTCCAAATATTTACCATTCTCCGTTCGAAGCACAGTGAGTGGGGAACTCGCTTTACATCCGACGCCACAAGTTTCAATCTCTGTCCGCATGTGCTACGTGGCCCTAGTAAGTGCAGCATTGGCCTTAGCATGAGGAACTCACCGAGACGTAGAATACGGTGGATTATAATGATTTCGAATCGCACCCGACGGTAGGGTTAGGTGTAGAGTCATAGTCTTACGTACCAGTCTTCATAATTTAAGCAACCTAAACTAGGGATGAGCCTGGTAGCAACTTGTTGGACCCGTTCGATCTTATGTTCCTCGACTCGGGTAATCGCAAATTGGATGGTCTAATGATGGAAGAGAAAATGCGAGTTGCAGCCACTTCAGACCATGTGCCGAAGCTACGTTTGAGCGCCCAAAGCATGCGCAGTCCGTTGCGATATAACCAATTCGTGTTGTCTACGGACATTACGTCGCAAGGCGAGAGTACACCTAGCTTTTTCAAAAAGAGTGTGGGATATAGCGGTTGACCGTCAATGGTGAAGGTTTAGCCATCACCACCCTTCCCCAGGCTCATAAATACAGGCTTGGCTGGGTTGACCGGGAGATGAACTTCCGCAGACCATGTGAATAGCGGTTGAGGTGTTGCTGAAGTATGCCATAGTCGTCGGGAGCGTTAATTTCTCTACAGTTTTTCATATCCTCCGCAAACAAAACACACGGAGACCTAAAAAGCTGAGGCAGATCGTTGATGTGGATTAGGAACAGAGTGAGTCCGAGCACAGTGCTTTGAGGTACGCCACTTTAAGATGGATAACAGTCAGTAAAATGGCCGTTGACCTGTAGCCTCTACTTGTATCCAACACCAAAGTCGCCGATCTATTGGTGCAGTGAACCACCGATGCCACTGTTGCAAACGTATATCCTCAACAAAGTATGTTGGTTAGACATGAAAGTAGCCCAAATCTAGAAGCATGACAAGCCATAATCGGGCAGCAATTTGCGTTTATAGCTAATGCGTAGAAATCTTTCCTTAGGGCAGTTATGTTTGATGATCCAGCAATAGTCAGCCTTCCTGTGTTTATCCCATCGTTCCCAATCCGATTTTTCCATCGTCCTCATTCTTGATGAAAACTTTCCTCCTGTTCGTCACTTACAGACCTAAGGTTAACGAGGAATTGAACAAGATGACCGTTCAAGACATATAGCTTAACGCCCATGTTACAACCAGGATCGCGAAATGCCAACAACATTCGGTTAACCTGTTCCTCACAATTATCTGCTTTAATGTTTCCAGAAAATATTTTTCTAACCGCTATGAATGCCTGCCACACATTCAATTCCCTGCCATCCGTCTTTAACAGAAATGCTTCATCATGCACCAAAGCACGAATGTGTGAGCCATTGTTGACTGAATTTCTGGGGAGCTGATAAAATTCAGCATCAGTTGCAGAGTATTCATAAGTTGAAACCTATTCTTGGAACTGGGCCCGAACTTCAAGCAAACTGTTTTCATCATCTGGTGCAGTAAAGATTTTAAATTTTGCAATTGGGTGGAATGGGTCGGATTGCATAGGAACTACTGGGATAAGAGATCGTTTGCCAACTTTTCTTGCTACTAACTTTTATATCAACAATTCCAAAATCTCAGTGTGTTATGTGGTTATTAGATTCCCACCAAACCATGGAAACTTGAAATGGTAGGCGTTTGCGTTCGCATTTTGTCCAAACAAGAAGCATTTCGTCCCAATAATGGCACACAACGTTAGGTGCCCATTATTGGTCTTGGTCGCCAAAATTATGTCAAGTTATTAGCACCTTTTACAAGCGGAATTATATTGCTCATTTGACGACCTAGTGTATAACAGCGATATATATATATATATATATATATATATATATATATATATAACACAGTAGCAATTACAATATACTCAGCTGAGTGCCACAACACATAAGACGAAAAAGATAGCATGAAAAGGAAGACAACTGTTAGGGTAGTGTAGTCTCACAGCAAGTGCACCGTTTCTTACGGTCCTTGGCCATATGCTCTAGCGTTTGCAACCAAGTGTGCTCGGGCTTCTTTAGTCACCAAAACGGGAGTCGGGAAAGCTCAAAAACAGAATTTTTCAACTGTTGCGCCTTAACACATTAGATCCAAGTTTTACATTGCCTTCCTTTCCGTCACTTCCAAGCCACGCCTGTACTCGCAAATACGTCTCGACGGTGTAGGCGCTGGGTAGGCGTGCAGAGCACATAGCCAAACCAGTAAAGCCTCCGCAGTGAGATGATGCTGTCAATCGATTGGCGGCGTTCGTTAGGTTTGAAGACTTGCCGACAGATTTCCTCAATATTGATGTGGTACTGCCATCGAACACCAGCAGTGCTTCACAGGCAATGATGAAGGAAGACTGATAGCCGCTGAACATCGCTTTTGAGAACGGGCCAAATCTCACAGCCTTACAGCAGAATCACTCGTACCGCAGCAGGGGCACATATATAGCGAAATGAATAAGGCTCATTTACACATTTATGTCGACCTGAGTGAAACATGGTCATTAATGAAACCAAAGTGGATTGCTACTTACTTTTCTATTCATATAAAACGTCAAAAAGCCTGAAAACTATGGCATGCAGGAAAAGGGGTACCAGATTTAAATTCGGCGTAAACCTTCATATAAAATCAGTTTAGAAATCGCTTGCAACAGAAAGTTGCAAAACTTTTGTTGTCCTGTGACAAAGTATAACTTGTCTTACTCAATAAATGACCCGAGGAATTTTCCTTTATTGTTTTAGTACCAATGTGTCCCTCCTGCATTACATCGCGAATCGCCACAGCGACTTTTACAACTGTGTCATTCAAAGTCTTCCCAATCTCATAAAGAGCAAAAGTTAAATGGCATCAAACAATATGTGAATCAATTGAGAAAGTCACTTCTTCCCCAACAACAATCGTTACTTTCGCTCACCGATCTGCCCCTCTCCGAACTGCAATCGCGTTTGCGATCCAACCAAATCAACCCCCTCGATTTATTGCATGCATTTCAGCTCAAAGCTGCAAACTTATACGAAAAGGGCAATTCTGGTATATGTGAATTTATTCACGAAGCTGAGCACCAAGCACAGAGTTTAACCGGTGACGCCGCATCATTCAATTCCGAGCTGTATGGAATTCCCGTGAGCGTGAAGGAGCTATGCTGTGTACAGGGCTACGACGCCACTTTCGGCCTCCTCAAGTTATGTGGTCAGCCAGCCGCAGAGGACTGTGTTCTAGTAAAGACTCTAAGGCAAGCCGGTGCGATTCCATTTGTGCTTACGGCCACATCTCACTTGGCATTGACCACCAGTGGCGTGAATCCGGTGTTCGGGGACATGCACAATCCGTATTCAACACGCCATGAGCCCGGAGGCAGCTCGACGGGGGAAGCTTTGCTGCTGGCACAGAACGGTTCACCGGTGGGATTGGGGACCGACATTGCTGGAAGTATTCGTATCCCAAGTGCGTTCTGCGGATTGGCTGGTTTAAAGCCTACATCCACGCGGCTGAGCAGCCTAGGATTAGCAGAGCTGTTTCCGCAATCGGTGATTTGTCTGTCCGTCACTGCTGGACCTATGGGCCGTCGTGTCGAAGATTTGGCGAAAGTTATGCTCACCTTACTAGGACCGGTCATGTTCCAATTGGACTCCTCAATCCCCGTACTACCATTTAAAAAGGAGGTGTATCAGGGTGAGGACAAGTCCAATCTTCTCATCGGTTATTACGACACACTGTCTGACCCTGATATTACACAGACAGTTCCATCTGTACGCAGAGGCATTTTAAGAGCGGTGGAAATTCTCAGGCGAAGAGGACATCGAGTTTTACAATTCACTCCACCTGAACCGTCCAAGGCACTTCGACTGGGGTTGCGTGCACTGTGCGTCGATGGGGGTAGAGCGATTTCTGATTGGCTCGCCAACGAACCACATACACCACAAACCAAAGCAGTGAATGTCGTCGCCTCTCTACCAAACAGTCTACGATGGATTGTAGACGCAATCGCCAGGAGATTTATTGGACGACCTGCAGCCGTGTCAGCAATGGTGCGGATGCCTTCCGGCGTTTCTGACCTCATGAAGCTAGTTTTGGAAATTAGAGCATATCGACGGTGTTTCGAGACGGCTTGGATGCAAGCTGGAGATTTCGACGCTGTTCTTTGTCCTGTATGGGCATATCCAGCATATCCTCGTGAAATGCCTGTGTTCTACGCTAATCCTCCCGTTCTGTACACTCTCCTGTACAATCTGCTCGATTATCCCGCTGGGGTTGTTCCCATGGGCACGGTGAGTCGGGAGGATGTCGAAGTTGCATTGCAGATGGCCGAAAAATGCAAAGCTGGCGGGGACAAATTTCACGAGAAGGTGTTGCGCTATCAGAATGAAACGGAAAATTTGCCACTCAGTGTGCAGGTGGTCTCCAAGCCGTTCCGAGAGGAAGTGGTTTTGCGTGTGATGAGAGAGTTGGAAGTCGATCGTGAATCGGTAACCTTACCCGGTTTATTCTGAACCATATCAAACCTGGCGCAACCGTGGTACGGATGTTGGACAGTAACTGTAAACACTGATTTTCTTGTCTAAGACAGGAGTAAGATTCAATCAGTTGTCACCATTAAACGACTAATTGGTATCTGATTGTCTGATTGTGACCCTTGCAGATCATTTGATCGATGTTCTAACGTTGCCGTGAATAAGGCTGTGTTTTGCGGGTTGCAATGTTTTGCGGTGTTTTTTTTATAGAAGGCGCTGTTTTGAACCTAACTTCCTTAACTCCGGTGCTAAAATCCAGTTTGAGGAGGATGGATAAGCGATAAACCAGCAACTTTTGGTTTTAATCAGATAGTTTGGGGGACACGATCAATCTCCTATGCACTGTGTTATGGACGTCAGCTCGTTTGTTATCACGTTGAAATCTTAAATATTACTTATCCACTGTAGTTTCCAAGCCGGGAAGTTTTGGAACTACATCTTGCGAAAGTCATCTTTTTCTTTTTGTCACTGTATTTTTACGCCGATAAACTATTAAATTCCTTAGTAATTAAGTGACACATTTTGTTGTGGTATCATAGTCTACTTCTTCGGTCCCCATACTATTCCACAAGGAACATCCAGTAGACCAGCACGTCACCTCTCTTACAGTACTCAAGATGATCTACGCGATGGATGCCATGTACACACGATCTGCGTATGAGGTCTTCGGTTTTACCGACGCTGTGTTGGTGCTCTGTTGTACGGTCGCTTCCGAGTTATTTCTCGATATCTTCAGGATACAACTATGGGTTAAAAACGCCTTCTAGTAGTCAACCTAAGTCGAATAAAATTCATCCACCAATAAAAGCGCATTTACAGCACAGATAAGGTTAATTTCCACGTCACCGTCCTAATCGGTCAAAGGCGAAGATGGAAATGGCATAGAAATAAGTCGAAGCTCGAGTGGTCTGAGTGTTAGCTGATCTCGGCAGTTTGGCTGCAAACGTTTTGTCACCACCAGAGGTGACATCGTCGATGCTCGTTTGTGTAGCAGAGCGGCGCAGTACAAAGCGTCAGTGAGTGCGAATGATCGATCATATAGCTGTCAGTCTGTGTTTGGATCGTTCGACGGGCACATGAGCATCGAAATTGATCTCTGATTCTTGCCTCGAAGTGTACTTGCGCGTGCCTCTTTGGCTGTCGTCGTCGTTTGACGCATTTGTCCGGTGTTCTGCTCCGTTGAATTTAATCCACTAATTCGATGTTCTTTCATCCGTAGAGCTGCATCTATAGCATCTATTTCAACGCGTCGGTTTATTGAATTGTCTGTAGAATACCATGCTTCCAAGAACTCTCTAGCTTGCCTTGAAATTCCACGGGCTAGGATCCTTATGTTCTCTAAGTCCAAGTATTTTCATTCTTGGGCTTCATGCATGGAAACCAGTGAATGCAGTTCGCGTCTCCGTATGGCCATCATGTATTCGTTGATCCGTGTTGAAAATTTCCTTCCAGTTTTTCCGAGGTAGTGTTTGTCACACTATTTGCATGTAATTTTGTAGATGATATCATTCTGACTGCCTTGTTCAAATTTGTCTTTCCGTTTTGGAAGCAATATTTGCAAACTATCAGTTGGTTTGTGGCCTACCAAGATTCCATGTGGTCGTAACAATCTCGACGTTAGTTCAGACACGTTCTTGATGTAAGGAAGCGCTACCCGTTTATCTGCGTTTTCCCACTGTTGTTGATGCACTCTTTTCTTTAGGCTTCTTCGGATGAAGATTTTTGGATACCCGTTGTTTTTCAATACCCAGTATAGATGGTCCTCTTCCTTCTTCCTAAATTCTGTCGTGCTACGGTGTGTTTCGGCCCTTCTGAAAATGCTTTGAATGCAGCTTTTCTTGTGGTTCAGTGGATGGTTGCTGTGGTAGTTTAATATTTCTTCTGTATGGGTCTTCTTTCATTATACACATATTTTAAGCGTTCCGTCAGTGTTTCTGTGGACCAGTAGATCTAAGAATGGTAAATGGTTGTCTTTTTCGAGTTCAGTGGTAAACTTGATATCCTGGAAAGTGTTGTTGATTAGTTCATAGGCATTTTGTATGGATTCTTGTTTGGTTGTGACAAACGTGTCGCTCACGTACCCGATCCATAATTTTGGTTTGATTAACGATATTGTGATATTCTCCGGTTTTTGCATCTCAGTTTCCGCAATAACTCTTGAAATAGGCAATCCCATAGGCGTTCCTTTCAGTAAAGTAAAAACAAGTAGTGATGCAAAGATCCAAGATTTCCCATATTCTCTCCGGCTTAAGAGTCCCTATTGTGTTCGCTTGATTTCGAAGAAATTCCACCATGATTTCTTTTGATAGTTCGTGACCGATCGACGTGAAGAGTGCGGTGACGTCAAACGACAGCATGGTTTCATCTTCCCCTACCGTAACACCCTTCTGTTTGTTGACGAATTGTTCGGCATTGATTATGCGTTGTCCAGATTCGGCCCCTACCAAAGTTGAAGAAGGAATTTGCATTTGTATGGGGCAAATCATAGCCCAAAACCTAAGACAGGCAGTGCTACTCGGTCCTTTGCTAAGTGGCAAGTTTGTGAGCTGGCAGAGATAGAGCTAACGTCATTCACGTACTCCAAGACATGAAGTCGCTCACAAGTAAGCAGTACCACACTTAGTAAGTGGTGTCCACTGAACGTAGTTAACATAACATATTCAATGACGAAGTTAAAAACAAAAGGTGTTAGAAAGCAAGATTGTTTCACACCAGTGGATATATTAAATCGCAGTGACAGCATGCCTTATACCCTCACACCGCAAGAAAAATGCTCGAACAACCCTCTGAAAACGTTCAGGTATTATTCGGGCACACCTTTCTTCAGCAGACAGTTCTAAAGGGTACGTCGATCCACCGAATCTAAGACATCTTGTGTCGAGAAACACGCCAACCATGGGTCGCTAATCAACTTGGCGGCACTGCAACAATTGACCTGATGTGAAGATGTGCTCGATGCAGCCACGATCTTGACGAAACCCGGCTTGTTGTTTGTTGCCCTGACCTTCACGAGCGCCAGTCAGTCTGTGCGATACGACAGACGCAGGAAATTTAGAGGCAACTGAGATCAGACTGATTCCTCTATGATTGCCGTATTCCGAACAGGAGCCTCCCTTGCAATTTGGGAATACGACGAAGCGGTTCCTATCTGTCGGGACAGTTTCCTGCTTCCAAAGTTCCATTAGCAAAGCATGTAAAACAACTACAAGAGCTGGGGTATGGAATTCAATCTGCACCAGCTGCATTGTGCAATTTTTTCAAACGCTGATCTCTCGTTTGATTTTTGTACATGAGGGTGGATCTAAGGAGGCAGCTCAAGCAGAAGGGCAATCAATATCTTAAAACGAAAGCGATAGATTGGTTAAACTGTCTTGCAAATTGTTCGGCCCAATGCTCTAAGCGTTTGGACAAGCTGTGGATCTCCTGTCGGCTTGTCGCGTATGGTCTCGCTAACACCAGGTCTCACGCTGCCTGTTTCCCATACCAGGCAGAATAACTTACAATGCTTCCCAACAGCAGCGGCTGTTTTCATTTCCGATGCACGATGAGACCATCAAACTTCGCGCTCTCTCATTAGACTAGCAAGCAGTTTTGCCTTTGGATTTTCGCGAGTCCCATTGTATGCGATTACAGTCGAAATACGTCGGGAGCATCCAAAAGTTCAGGACACTGTGTAGAGACCCAATGTTCAGTTTGGTAATTTGATTTGTCACTTGAGAACATGCATGCTGATAGTACCGTTTGGCGAATGTGCATCCAGTGATATTTGACGGCGTTCAGTGGACGATTGCTCAACCCGAATGCCAGCGTAGTTTGATACGCAATCAGAACAGCTAGCATCGCCAGCTGGCTGGTGTCGATGCCCTTACATCGAGGTTTGGACATCCGCCGAAACGCACTTGTAAGTTGGCACACACAACAGCGTGTTTGGAGTCCACGCTTGTGCTCCAACTCAAAGACAATTGTGGATACAGCCTCTCCATCGGTAACTAATCGCGATATGATCAATTTACTTCCATGGCTGGCCCGAGGCTGTTGGGCATCAACTCACTCTTCTGCGGGTGCTGTCGAAAGATTTCGCTCCCGAGGAAGAGTCGAGCAGTTCACAATGGTGTAGCAATCACTCACCCTGCGAGGTGTTTAGTGGCTCGCTGTGTTAACAATGGAGGTCTAGCTTACACCTGTGTCGTCGATGTATCCGTAAACGCAGTTGCCAAATATGCCGGTCTGTCAGCGTGTAGTCATTGTGCAGCTCTACAGTGTGTGTGGCTCCAACGCGTCAGCAACCGCAAGACCCTACTACCCTATGCACTGTGTTACGCGTGCCCACTAACAAGCAAAGCCAGGTATTCCGAATGGGTATCAAACTACGCTGGCATTCGGGTTGAGCAAGCGTCCACTGAACACCGTCAAATATCACTGGATGCACATTCGTCAAACGTTACTATCAGCATGCATGTTTTCATGTGACAAATCAAATTACCAAACTGAACATTGGGTCTCTACACAGTGTCCTGAACTTATGGATGCTCCCGACGTATTTCGACTGTAATCGCATACAATGGGACTCGCGAAAATCCCAAGGCAAAACTGCTTGCTAGTCTGAAGAGAGAGCGCGAAGTTTGATAGTCTCATCGTGCATCGGAAATGAAAACAGCCGCTGCTGTTGGGAAGCATTGTAAGTTATTCTGCCTGGTATGGGAAACAGGCAGCGTGAGACCTGGTGTTAGCGAGACCATACGCCACCAGCCGACAGTAGATCCACAGCTTGTCCAAACGCTTAGAGCATTGGGCCGAACAATTTGCAAGACAGTTTAACCAATCTATCGCTTTCGTTTTAAGATATTGATTGCCCTTCTGCTTGAGCTGTCTCCTTAGATCCGCCCTCATGTACAAAAATCGAACGAGAGATCAGCGTTTGAAATAATTGCACAATGCAGCTGGTGCAGATTGAATTCCATACCCCAGCTCTTGTAGTTGTTTTACATGCTTTGCTAATGGAACTTTGGAAGCAGGAAACTGTCCCGACAGACAGGAACCGCTTCGTCGTAGTCCCAAATTGCAAGGGAGGCTCCTGTTCGGAATACGGCAATCATAGAGGAATCAGTCTGATCTCAGTTGCCTCTAAATTTCCTGCGTCTGTCGTATCGCACAGACTGACTGGCGCTCGTGAAGG